CTTGTTAAAATCAAAGTGCAAACTGTGATCAAGATCAAAGCCAAAGGCCATCAATGAGTTGACTCTCCTTGCCGGTCTGTAGGGTGGCAGATTGAAGGCTGTACCCACGATGTTGCAGTTCATGACATCCATAATGTCACCCCTCCATGGGACTGATCCAGCACTCCAGCTCAGATGGTGTCCACCCCGGGCACCATCCAGACATGTGGGGAGAAAGGCAGAGATCATGGGTGGTCAGAACATGCATAGTCACATTAATGGATAAGCACAGTAGATCAGAATAGCATGTACAGCAGCACCAGAAGCCATAGTTACAGCATGTTATGTGTTAGGTTGTGGGCAAGCTAAACTGAAGTAATAGGTCTTCAGTCAATATTTAAAGACTGAGACCAATTCGGCATCCTGAACATTGGCTGGCAAACCATTCCACAATATAGGGGCCCTGTAGCAGAATGCTTTACCTCCACATGTCACTTTATAAGTGGAATGACAAGGAAACCTGTGTTCTGTGATTTGAGTGGATGATGTGGCTTGTAAACATGAAGTAATTCTGTTAGGTAGGCAGGAGCTAGACCTTTAAGTGCTTTATATGCAAGTAGGAGAACTTTGAAGTCAGTCCTAAATCTAACAGGAAGCCAAAATAGGGAACTAAGAACAGGGGTTATATGTTCACACTTCCTGCTCCTTCTGACAATTCGAGCTGCTGCATTTTGAATACGCTGCAAGGTATTTAATGTGCAGTGTGTGCTCCCAGATAACAGGGCATCATAGTCTAACCATCTGTATACAGAGGCATGTATCGATTTCTCAGTGTCTTGAATAGTATGGAATCGTCATAGTTTGGCAGTGTTACATAGTTGTAGGAAGCTCACCTTCAATACTTATGTAACTGTGGATGCAGTTACAACAGTACTACAGAGTAATAAAAGGCATTCAAATCTATGTATTCATTTGGAATTAATTTTTTTTCTTCCATAAGAATGTTTACGTCAGCTAGCTAGCTGGGAACCTTGTTTCCTAGGTGTACGAATTTTCTGAATTTCATTGCTATTTACCTGCATTAGTTATTGCATTAAACAGCTAGTTATGTGATATTTTACGTCAAAACTGCATGTAGAACATAGTCTTTAGATAATGACTGCAGGGTGAGAATGGTATGGTGACAGATTCAGACTTCTTTGGAACATGATATTATTTTGTTCAATATATGTACTCCATCAATTTATTTTCTAACTTCTTTATTTTGGATGTGCATATACTATACTTTGGAAATGTGATTGATCTCGAAAATGTAAACAATTGATGGATCTTTTTGCAAACTTCCCACAAATATTGTACAGGACAGTGGAATTCAAACTCTAGAGTGTGAGATATTAGATTTAGAAACATTAAAAATAATGTAAACATGTTATATACCTGTCCGCATTATATGATGCTAACTAATGAAAATAATTACACCTTATTTTATTTAATAATTAAAGCTTATTTGGGATCTGTGTGTGTGTGGGGTTGGGGGGGAGATCAGGACAAATTAATCAAATAAAAAAATTCAGTATAGTGGCCCTAACACATGTCTTGACGCTAGACAGGGCATCAAGACATAGCTAAGTACTCTAGATGATGAGATAGGGGTGGGCGATATAGCAAAAATATCATATCACATTTTTTTCAAGCAGGATCACAATCCACAATCCAGACAAGTTCCATATTACCAATATTGAATCCTTTTTAGGGACCAACTCCTCCACGTTGTCCATGCTGCTATATTGCCAAATACGGAATGTGTTCCACGTTATGCTTTGCATGTTGAGACAAAGGCGCGAATTAGAGAGAGGAAGAAATCCAAAGCAGTACCTACTGTTTGCTGTTACTGGTTTATCAGTGTGCCTAAAGGCATTTTGGCTGACAAAACAATTTTAGATACATGCATGAGTCATAGAACTGCAACTGCTACAATGTGCACTGTAGCATGATGCTAACGATCTCTCTATAGAGCGTAAACTCAAACTTTCCACAAGCCATTCAACTTCCCCCTTAGTGCGTGCTGAAATGTGTCCATGCTGCAACAAAAACTCTCGCCCTTTCAAACACTAATAGTTATGGAGCATATGACAGACATAATGATTAATTATGCCAACAACATACTCATCTCTTGTGTAAAAATAGGACATTATAACTTAATAATGCAACAAAAGTATTTAGGCTAAATCGTGATACGATACGCAAATTGATGGCGATAAAGTTCATAATCACGATACGATATTTTACTGATGTATCACCTCACCTTAGAGTGATGGGAGATGAGCTTAAAATATTCTGGCTGCAGAAGCAGGTGTGAGCAATGCTGTTGGCTCGGGCTGCTGGTAAGACCTTGTGTGCCTGTATGACATCCAGGGGTCATAAGGCTGTTTTAAGTCCACCATGAACATCCATCCTAAAGGTCGTGATCTGTCTTGAGCGTCAGCATCTCCTGAGAAATTAAGTCGGTAAAATGCTGCAGTTATGTAAATGCGTAACATTTTCAGCTTCAGGTTGTCAGGCAGGTGCTGAAATCATGTAAGCCTTTGGATTTTGAACATTGGCCCATCACTCATGGTGTCTTCCTTAATTCACAGTGAAGTCCCAGAAGATGGATGATTCGGAGAAGACGGACAACTCCCAGAATGTCAAGAATGTTGACTTAGGTGAGACGACAGACAAACCAGAGAAAGTCGAGAAGATGGAGACATCAGAGAAAGACATTAACGGGAAGAGCGATAATGTGGAAAATCGGGACACAATAGAGCAGACAGTGAAAGCTGACAAGATGAGCAATGAGAAGAAGGAGATGGAAAAGACTGACAAGATAGACACAGACCAGGAGAAGACACAAAAGACCGAAAAGGTAGAAAAAGACAAGGATAAGATGCACAAGGTGGAAAAGACCACAAAAGACAAGAAGATAGAAAAGGTACAAAAGGTAGACAGAGAGAAGAATACAAAAAAGGTGGAAAAGATTGACACCATCGATAAAAAAGACAAGCAAGAAAAGATAAATAAAGTTGGGAAGGTCAAGGCGAGAGGTCAAGAAAATGGGGAGAAGGTTGGTAAAGGAGAGAAATCGGAGAAAACTGACAAGGCACCTAAGAAGACTATGGCTAACCGGAGCAGTGCCCCTCCAAACAAAGGTCTAATTGCTGCAGACAAGAAGACAAAGGTAGGCTACTGCATGTGGGACATGCTGCCATCACCCATAGCCGTGTGAGCTTCTGCTTTTGCCAGTGCTCGGTGTGTGAATGCAGTAGGTTGACCAACACAGAGCAAGCCTACAGATTGGTATATTCAAAGCTGATGGCTTTCTCTTCTCCGAAGACATGCAAGGAAATAAAGATTGTTAGCGGCAGAGGAGTACACTAGGTAGTGCATGATCATTGTTAAGGTATCACATGTGTGTGAATGTGCTGTATGGAGCGTCTGTGTATCCATAGTATAGAGACTTGCCTTTGATTGGCTGGAGCTGCCACGCCCCTTTTTTTGTTCATCATTTATGCTGCTTGTGTTTTGTTACCATTGTCATTTCTGTTTGGTTTTCTCCTCCACCCACCTGCCATGCATCCTGTGTGCTGCCCATCTGCCAGCCAGCTGCTGGGCCAACCAAACCAAGTTCTGTAAAAACACGACCGCACTCGTTACCAGCGGGGGACAGTGCCCCTGACGGCCCCACCCCTGCCCCCACGTCCTCCGGCACTGTTAGCAAAAAAGGCCCCGTTCACAAGGTGTCTGAGCCCACAGCCAGCACCAAGCGGCCCCCGCCTACTGCCAGCCGTGCCCCATCCATCACACAGTCCCGAGAGCTCAAGCCCAAGGTGAGTCTTCCTCCACCCCTCCCTCAGTGCCCATGCCCCCCCCCCAGCACTGAAGGAGGGTGACCCAGCTTTAGTCTTCCTTCCTTCTCCTTTTCTTCACTCAGCTTTGATAATCACTTAGTGCAGGATCAGAGATGCGCTGCTGGCCTGCTTGGTCTTGGCCCCGGTGGCGGCGCGGGGGGGGGGGGGGTCCTGCTGATGGCAAAGGTCCCATTTAAACGTCTCCATTACCAATGGTCCCGAAGATACTACTTTTTTACCAATTTTGAGTCACAGTCATTTTTTCTGTCTAGAACTACAGTATAGGAGGGTCGCTCAGAGATATTTTTTTTCTTTCACGTCATTTTGTCTCTTGATTTTCCTTCCTCTCATTTCAGCACAACCACCAGTTTTAGTCGGGGGGGGGGGTCACCCTATAGGGTGTCACAGTGGTCACTGCTACAGCAGAAGCCGCTTCCCGCTTGTGCCGTAGGCAGCTGCAGGCTCAGCCTGTTAGCAAGGTGGCACAGGGCGAGGGCATCAGCAATGCAGGGGCATGTTTCTGAGCTCTGCCCTCTGCTGGAGTGCAGGGTGAAGTGCACCCCGGTGCTCTCCGCTCCCCTCTGCCCATAGTGCTGTTGTCTTTGCGGAATATTTAATCAGGGCTTATTTCCATCGTGACTCTGGCTGCTTTTCCTAATTAGATGTGTTTAAGAAGAGCGAAACATTGCAAATTACTCACAGCAAGCTAAACTTTCTTCTTGCACATAAGTTCCATTCGTGAAGATGGACTAACTGCACAGCTAAGCCTCCTGTAAGGAGAATGGCCACTCTCCTGTTCCCCAGTGCTTGCAGGACCCTACATGCGCCATTTGCCATATGCTGTTTTGGCCCATAAACATTCTCTGTCTCCATCTGCCGTATTCAGTCTGACACCCCTCCTCCCAGACACTGAACTGTGACAGGTTCCTTCTCTTTCCAGTCGACCGAGGCCCGGCGCCCCCCCGTACCGAAGGCTAACGCCGCCTTGCCCACTCGCACCGCCGCCCCGAAGATCAGCTCCGCCACCGCGGCCGCCCCCAGGCCGGCGACGCGGACCTCCAGCGGCACCCCCTCGGTGAAACGCACGGCAGGTAGGCGCCCCCCCACACATCCCCAGCGCCGACAGCCCGTACCAGCTTGTCTATATTATCATACAAACCGGTCCCGGTCCTGTGTATTCATAGCCACCAAGACTGACAGCAAAGCCGAAGAAGTCAAGAAGCCCAGTACACTGAGGACAACGACCGGTAAGCCCTTCTCAGTGGGACTGGGAATCTCTGGCCCCAAGGCATCGGAAATCTTACGGTTCTGCCATGATTTGATTCAACTAATCTATAGATTATTTTTGAAATTAATAAATCGGAAAATATATCAAATTCAAAAAGCACTGAACTGTACATGAACAAACTGTACTTATAACAAGTTATATATAGTTATATATGTATTATTGATATTCATTATATATATATATAGACACACACACACAGTATAGTGGTGAAACTGGCAGGCTTGCCAGTGCAGATTACATCATTCTGTGGGAAATCAGAGATCGATCCGCTGGCCAGATTTCATGATGGATTTTGATCATGTCGCGGGCCGGAGTTTCTATAAGTGGTGATTAAGCTGATGAAATACCTCATCCTTCACTATGGAAAATGACTGATCATCCAATGCACTCATCTCTATTATTTTCGTAGCTGTGTTTTTTTGCTTTGGTGCTGCTAACACTTAGACTGACCATTCTGCGCTACGAAACAGGGCTGAGCTTGATCACCAGGAGATCACCAAGTAGCACTTCCTTTATGGATATTACTGAGCCTTCCCCAGTCGTCGCACATGTCAGAAATCTGTTTGCCCGCACTTCTGCTTTGAATGTCTGCTTGCAGCCCGTGAGCTCGAGAGCACGCAACCAGGAAGCCGGAGTATCTTTATTTTTAAAGACTATTTGCCTGCAAAAATTGCTTATAACCAATCTCTTTATTTGCATATGAAGTATACAAAATGAAATATATATAGCATAGAAGTAAAGAGTAATTGTGTGATTTTTATTTTTTTTTTATTAAATATAAGTTTTAGGTTTATAATTTGGTGATATTCTTGTGCATTTTTTTTTTTATTTATTGATCCATATCAGTATTTGGACATGTTTAATGAGGCTAGTTTATACGCGCAAGATACTTCACGCTGTCTAAAGTTGCTGTGATGCTTGTTTGAAGCTTCATTTGGTTTATTTAGGCTCTTCTAGCAGCTGTCCTTCTGGAGACTTCAGAAAGAGCTGTTTGGAGATCTTTCTGTTCCATCTTGGATAACTTCAGAATGAATGGAGCTTTTTTCGTGAAAGTAGCATCAATCGAAGTGGTATATTGAATACAAAATCATTAATAGGCATCTGTAAATAATAGTAAAAAAAGCACATTTTTTGGCCATTCTGCTCTGCTTTCTGACCATATAAAAATGATTTGGCCAAACAGCTCATATTTTGATTAGTTAAAGGTCCATACTTGGTGACCCAGAGTAAGCAATTACTATACGTAGGTTTTTAACAATACACCTTGGCATCGAAGCATGTAAATTTAGGTGAAAATACTGGAAAAATGCCCAAATATTGCATTTTCTGAAAGGAGTAATTAATCTGAACTGCAGGACATATGCAAAAGCTTAAGGATTATCTCTGAAAACTGAGCGTCGGGGTCGCCAGATCATCCTCAGCATTCGAACTCTCAGATCTCGACTGACTTATCAGTTTTTAAGCTGATTTTGATTTTAGCTGGTCAAGAGTTTTTTTTTTTTTTCAGGATTAAGAGGTCAAACTTTCAAAGGAAGCCTTAATAGTATCTTTCTGAAGGGAGAGCTTATTGATTTCATTTTCAGATCAGGCTTACTCAGTGAAGCTCCTTTTCTGAAAATCACTCCGAGTGCCGTCTGTGCGCCCCCTACAGACTCCAGTCGGAATGGACCCGGGTCCACCCGGAAATTGCCCACCACCCCCAGCACCCCCACGGCCAGCGCCCACAGCACAAAGCCCTCCACGCCTACTGCTACAGTGCCAGAAAGAAAGCCCCCAGTTCCACGTGCCCCCCGATCCAGCACCGCCCCCCGCCCAAGCACGGCCCCCACACCAGACATCAAGAACGCCCGCTCCAAGATCGGCTCCACGGACAACATGAAGCACCAGCCTGGAGGGGGCAAGGTTAGACGTCGTGTTGCGGGGGGGGGGACATTTAGCAGTGTGATGCTTCACGTCGGTGGCCTGTGAAAGTCTTCCTCATTTCACCGTGTTTCCTAAATCCTGTCTGTGCCTTGCAGGCCTCTTGATTCTGTGTCATCCGTTCGCCTCTCACACTGTCCGGTCATGTCTCTCATGGTCCGACTAGGTTTGGGATAAACAGGACTAGACAAATCACCCCCAGTAGTGTTAAATTATTCTGCTTTGCAAACCTAATTTAGAGCATGCTGTCCTTGAGCAGCATGTTCTATATCTGTACTTCAGAGTCTTAGGATCCGTGACTAAGCTGCTTTACCTGTTCAAGGGGGACTTCCTGCCACTGGTACCTGTTCTTGAATAGGTGACATCAGTGTCTTGCGCAGGGAATTACACTAAACGCATAGAGAACTGAGGACTTGTTTTCCTCAAAGTCCAGCCTCTTCTCCTCTCTCACTCCATAAAGCCCCCTGTTCAGTTACCTCGACTTACATCACATCCTGTCGCAACATCCTCGTCATATTTCTTTGTTTTTCCTCCACATTTCTTTTTTTTTTTTATCCCCATAAAATGGAGGATAAAACGCCATTGCTCACAGCGCCTTTCCTTAATGACAGCGGGTCATGTTTTCACCATAAGCAGCAGTCGCTGTATCTCACCCTGTGCTCTTTTCCAACTGCCACCTCCGCTTCCTTCTCTGGGCCGGTCTGAGTGGTATGTTGACCCCGGGGGTGGTTGTCTCCCCAGGTCTCTACATCACAGGGTACAACTGACACCCTGGCTAAGGGCCCCCTCTCCAAAGAGACCAGCCAGGGCAAAGTGAGTCCATCGCACAGTCATCTCTCACCTCATCTATTTCTAGACATGACATCCTGTCCTATCCGTTTCCATCCTTCTTTCACATTCGCTCATGCTCTTTGTTTTTCCCTAAATCTCACCTCTTCCCTCCCTACACTTGGTTGTCTTGCCGATCCAGGTGAGTGTCCGCAGGCATGAAAAGCAGCTACTTGGTCCTTTGTCTTTTCTGGATGTGTTTATCCTTTAGTCGCTTCGTTTATTCCCTTGACACCCAGATGGGGCGGGCCTTGCATGCTGACCCACAAACATAGCAGCACTAACACATTATACTTTCCCCGTCAAAGACGGACAGACACGTGCAGATGTTTACGCATACATACCGTTAGGTATCTCATCACCAGAGGTGCCTTAATGCACCGACTTTCCCTGGCTGAAGCCCACGGGCTTTGGCTAAGAAGCCCCCCCCCCCCCCCCCCCCCCCCCCC